GGATGCCGTAGACAACATCGAAATTTTATGGAGCAAATATAATCATTTCGATCGATGAGAAAGACCATATGGCATATCTACTATATTTTTTTATCAGGTAAGCCAAAGCAGTATACTTTGAGTTATTTTAATCAATCTCATTCTTATTTTTTATGATGCTGAAAGTTTAGGCTAAGGCCGGTACCATGATGACAGTGGAATTTTTTTTCATACTTTGTGATTCTAGTCTAACAAAAATCACCTGCAATTGTATAATAAAACAGTTCTCATTACTTCATTTTAGGTATCTGTTTCTTACTCTATCGTTCTTTTTCTTAGACGCCATCCTTGTGTAAAATAAAAAAATCGGCAGAGATTTTGTATTAAAGAGATAATAATTTAAATTAAGCGGTAGAATAATAAAGGAGTCTGAATGTGTATAATAATGAATACACTCTTGATTCGAGTTATGCGGTCATTGAATTTAAATCGAAAAGCGCTTTCCAACTAAGCTAATCTACATTTTTTAATGAATTCGATGGTCTGTAAATCAATAATAGTAACTCAATTGTATATGTGAAGACTAAGATGGGGTGACCTTAGGTTTGGTCGACAAAACGAGGTTAAATCAACATTAATAACGGTAGACTAAGGTACTAGAGTAGGCAAGATTCTTAAGAGTTTACAAAGCTCAGGAACACAATGACACAGAAGTTGTGTGTCATATCGTTTCAGCAAGGGTGATAAAGTTTATAATAGAAACATGTCCACCAAGGATTAGTTGAATTTTTCACATTAATATTTTGTCGTAAGCATCTTCAAAAGTTTTAATCAAAAAATCGATTTATCAAATAGAATACTTTGTTTAGACCCAACTTGCTTGTTAAGCAATAATAGTAAACCCAATGTTATGGAACTGATATAATTAATACAGTGTTTAAACTGAAAATGGATCGTAAAAACTATCCTCACTTTTGAATAACGTTTATATATAGACTTTTTATATAACTTCTACATCTAGTTTTGCATTCTGGTAATGATATCTACTAATTAGTACACAACATCAAGCATTAATTTACTAAGCATGGTTGTTTTTATTAACATATTAAGACGCAAAACGGTATATTTTTAGATGTACTTCAATAGCTAAATAACAACTATACTTTCAAAGGTAGGAAGTATTGGCCTTATTGTTATAATAGATGTACCTCTGTCGAAAAGCCAAAAACGTTTAGCAACATTCAAAGAATAATCTTAATATAGGATGAATAATCACAAAAGTTATTTTAAAATTTAAATATCAACTTTCTGGAGTTTTAGCCAATCTACAGCACTGATTCATAGAGGTTAGCAACAATAAAGAAGTAAATAATAGGAAAGATATATAGAACTCTACTTACCAGCTCCTTCTTTAGTCCTACACTCAAACCTTCTTCCGGCTGCTTAGCCTTGGCTATTTCTGTAGTCTTCGCATCTGGCTGGATGTCGGATTTGATAGGTGATTTTATTCCAAGCATTACACGCTGTGCTAGCTGGCGGAAATTATTCTGCGATCCGGATTCACTGGTCATTTGCATGCAACTTGCTCGCCTGAACTCACTATTCTCGGATAGCATTCCCAAAGACACGGACCTATTTGTCCAGGGTAGCCTTTCTAACTTCTTTTTTACATAAGGTGGCTGCCGGAGAGTCCCACCTTCACTAATATCTTCTTCATCTTCTTCAAATACTGTCTCTACTTTACTCGCCTTTTCGGCATTTGCGAGGTCGTCAGTTTCTTCCACTTGGTATGTGAACTTGCCAAGATTTGCACACTGCACTACAATAGTACACAACCGCCCGCCGTCGCTTGTACCTTGCTTTTCCTGCCTGTGCAGGTATTCGCCTACAGGCAAAGTGCTATCATTTCCTGGCTCTTTCGCACCCTCTCCTGGAGGATGTGAAGCAGAAGACCGGGAAGCGGAAGTTGGAATTAAGGAGGCTCCCGCTTGCATTGAAAATAAGCGCTTATGACGGAATGGAAAGGCGGGATCTGCCGAATCCTGCAGATTTCGTTTTGGAGAACGAGTACTCACATGACGGCTCACTCTTGTAATTAGTTGTCCATCAGGAAGAGCACAAAACTGGGTTTCGGGCCCTAACTGGAAAAAATTGTGAAAGAATCCCTTGTTTACAGGCAAAGAAGGTAGAGTGATCAGGTTAAATGCCACAAAATGCTATGCTTATATTGTAAGAGATAAAAATGAAGACGCATCGACAAAGTTCTAGTGTATTGATATGAACAAAATAAGAAAACAATATATTAACCAATACCGGATTTCTAAACTATGAAAATTGGTGAAAATGTGAAGGAAATGTAAGATATTTTAAGAATTTGCAATACTATCCTTTATTTTAAACAGGCAGTTTGGAAGCATAATAATTGTGTAGCTTACAAAGACCAATTTCAATAGTGGATATGTCCGCAATTAAATAACAATAGGAGGAAATTAGAAGAATAACGATAAACTTAAATGACTCAGTTGTAAATTAAATTTGTAAGCATTTCTTATTATGCTTAAACACAATTGAATACGCCTTCTATCACATGTTTCTTTAACCTTAATTTCTTCGAAAGCTCCTAGTTTTCACAACTGCGTAATTTAAATCCGAACCATCTAGCGAAGGAAAAAGTAGGAATGTGTTAAATATATGCTTAAAACGTCGCATAACAAAGTATTCATAAATGTCCAAAAATAAGACCTGTTTTAGCATTCAAAAATGAACTCTAATACATTTTTAAATTAAATGTGAGCATCCATTGTTTGCCTAGATTGTTAAACCTAAGTGACAATGGAGGAGAGCTAAAAAAATGTGTCTACGTCGAAGTTAGGCTGTTGAATGCATCACTTGGCTATAGCAGATGCCCTCTCCTAGGCAGTTGAGTCACTAAAATGTGTATTCGAAATAAGCATTTTTTAAGTAGCATATCAGTGAACATCTGTCACCTGGAGAAGGAATTCTATCAACAGACTGAACAGGGTGATATAATTTATAGCCAGAAGCGTAGATCATTTATTTAAAAAATTAGTTTTACTTAAAACCTGATGGTCTGAAAGGAAACATAAGAGAACATAACAGTTTCTCTCATTTCGACCTCATCCAGGTCTTATCAACATCCCCGAAACATTGCCGAGTTAATATTTGATTACAATTAAAGTGGCATTATTCCTTAGCCATTAATTAAAAAATAGTATTTTATTGATGTCATAATTAATAGAAGTGACGAACATAAGCACATAATCTTTGGTTGCATAATTGAATGTCGTACGATACATCATATTTCATGTTAAACGAATTTACAGACATATGCTAATCTGCTCGCTAGTATTCAAGGATAAACGTTTACTCGGTTCTTTATTTGAAATAAAAATCTACCGTCTCAACTCATATCAAACTAGAATTAATTTTCTTTATCGACGTACGAAATTGTAATTAATTATAACCATGATAATTAATTCGCTTTAAA